AAAAAAAATAATGACTTTATCAATGAGCTTAAAAATGCTACAACAGAAAGGACAATATCTTTATTAGCTTTTCTTAGTATAGTTTAATTAATACTCTTATTTATTATGTGTAAATATTAATATTTATCTCAAAAGGTATGAATACAGAGCTCAAATGGTATGAATGAAAATATAGTTTACTTGATCTGTTTTCGCCTTTCCTTTCAATCTTATGTAAGCTTTGTAACTGAAGGCGGCATTGTATGATCTACTTATACGGTTTTTACGGCATAATATCTCATTTAAAACGTAAGATTAATGTGTCTACCAATTCTAGAAATATTTATAGAGATTTAGGTACGATAATAAAATGATTAAGCTTCATCTATGAAACATGTGTGTTTTTCGTGATATATCCCTATTTCTTTTCATTGATCTATTTTCTGTCCTAGCTTTAAGAAAAAATGCTTTGCAAAACGGAAGACCTCATCTGAAACTTAAGCCACCATAGGTATGCTGTATGCACATCCTCTTTCCTTCTTTCTTTCTTATCATTTTAATTGACTTTCTTCCACCTAATTCTTTCAACCATTCAAATTTAATAGTATTTGTTTTTGTTGTCATCTCTGTGGCGTGCAAATAGCACCTTCTTTTTCGAGATTTAGTTTTACAACATATTATTTATTAATTTAAATGCATAAGGTGCATTATATGCCTCAAATTAGTTGATAACGAACACATGAAAAAGACATAATACATGTAGAAATGAAGAACATTTGCTAACAAACATGTCAAAACATATTACTTGATCAAATTTACCATAAAAAACATTTTAACATGATAAAAGAAATTAATTGCTCTTCCACAAATCTCAATCTTTTATATGTTATTCTTCTTTACTCCAATAATTACAAAAAAATTACTCTCCATTTCAAAAAAAATACAATCATGGATCAATGAATTAGGTGTAAGATATGAATTTTTTTTAAAAATTATTGGTGAAATCATTTTTAAATATAATACGAACAATATAAAATGGGAAGAGAAGAAAGTCGATACCTCATCACGTTCAATTTTCATACGTTCCCTCAAATGGGTTCGACTTGCTTCACAAATTTACTAAAAAGTTCAAAATTCATGCCAATTGTTTTTAACTTTTTCATGACTTTTAAATATTTCAAGAAGTTTCTCGTAAATATATTTTAAAAAATAATGATTTTATCTTGTAGAATAATTTTATGGTAAGTTTGATCGAGTTATTTTATAAAAGAAATATTCAAAGTTGAGTGATTTTATTGATATAAAACAAAGTTGAATAATTTTACAATATAATTTCTCAAAGTTGAATGACCTTTTGAGATATTTACTGGAAAATTAAGAGAAATTAAATGCTTTTGAAATTATGAGACTATAAGGGGAAAATGGATCAATCCATAGATAATATAAAAAGCATCTATGTGTTATACATACTACATGTGTCTTTGTGATATGAGTGG